ACTTCTTGACTACGTATCCTCTCATGTTTCATTATATTAGGGACGTTTCTTCCAACAAATCTTTGACAATTTTCTCTGTGGTTTTGTTTGTCTCTTCCTGTTCTGGACTTCCAATCACACATAAGTTATTCCTCTTGATGGTGTTTCACATAAATCTTAGTCATCTTTTTTTTGGTTGTTCTTTTTTTCTGCTTGTTCCCTAAACAAAGTAGTATGTTTTCATTAATTTTGTTAGTGTTTTCCTTGATCTTTTCAATGTTTTCCTTGATCTGTCTATCTCTCAGTCCGTTGAAGATACCTAAATATAATTCTTTTGAATTCTTTACCAGGTAGTTCCAATGCCTCTTCTTCCTCGAGTAGGTTTTCTGGCTCTGTATTCTACTCCCTTGTCTGTACTACTTTATCTTGCTGCTTTGTGTGAACTGGGATTATCAGTTGTCTGTGAGACAATATGACAGTATTTATATTTAATTGGTGATTGTGTATCGGTGCATGATTTTCCCAAGGTTTTTTTTTTTTTTTTTTTTTTTAATGCAAGTGAGTGGGGCTTTGTTCACTAGTTGGCAGCATTTAAGCACTCATCACCTTTCTTCTGGTGGATGTGATGGAGGATGAGAGTGTGTGCATAGATCTCTGTTTGCTATTCATGTAGAGCAGTTAAGGGTGGGTTGGGCTGGTATTGGCCACCGTCTATCAGTTGGTACAGAAGCAGGTGTCGGGATGGTCATACCTCTGTTCAATGGGAGGGTGTGGGGTACAAGGGGAATATGACACCTTTCTATGACCAGCCACCAGTGTGGTTGCCCATGGAGTCCTTAGCAAGTGGAGCCAATTATCAGCTTGCTGCCCTGAGCAGAATGCCACTTGCAAATAGTAAAAATGCCCATGCCATCGGGCAATCAACAAGCCACAGCTCCATTGGCCTCCTTATTTGCTGTTTTCATTCAGTTTCTTCTCCTAGGTGGCATTTATTCCACTTCTTTATCCTTCCCTTTGAAGCTTTGGGTTCAGAATAATTTTCTGTATCTATTTTAATTGACTTCTTCTGTCTTTGTTGTAGAGGGTTGGGATAGCTTGTCTGCCTATTCCACCATCTTGCCAGAAGTACTTTGTGTTGATTTTTGTAGACAAAAATAATTTCATTAATGTACCATTTTCAAATATGTTGTCCGGAGCAAAGGTTATTAGAACAGAAATCTTTATCTCTGCTTTACCCCACAGTTCATCTTGCAGTTGAAAATGCAGTGATTTTAGTTGGAATTATTACAGTATATGAGTAAGTAAATAGGAAACCAAAAAACCCAAACTCACTGCCATGGGGTTGGATCTGATTCATAGCAACCCCTCCTTGGGTTTCTGAGATGGTATCACTATGGAAGTAGATTGCCCAGTATTCCTTCCAAGGAGTGGCTAGTGGGTTTGAACCACCAGCTTTCTGGTTAGCAGTTAAATGCCTTAGGCACTATGCCACCAGAACTCCTAGGTAGATAGGAGGGCTAGTTATTCCAGAAATTTCTAGCAGTTTGATTTTAAGATATGATGAATGTACCAAACAGACTTGCTTGACAAGATTTAATCAGATGTCAGTTTTACATTAAAAGCAATTGCTGTCTAGTCTATCCACAGTCATGGTGACCCCATGTGTGTCAGTAGAACTGGGCCCCAAAGGGTTTTTAGTGGTTTATTTTGTGGAAGTAGATACACAAGTCTGTCTTCCTGCAGGTATACTCGAACCGCCAACTTTTTGGTTATGTTGGCAGCTGAGTTCATTAACCATGTGTACCACTCAGGGACTCCTGTTTTACATTGTTGTTGTTGTTATGTGCCGTCGAGTCGGCCCTGACTCATATCGACCCCTCCTTGGGTTTCCAAGGCAGTAGATTGCCCCATCTTCCTTCCGGGGAGTGGCTGGTGGGTTTGAACCGCCAGCCTTCTGGTTAGCAGTCAAGTGCCTTAGCCACCATGCTACCAGAGCTCCCTGTTTTACATTAGTTTCCTCTTATTCATAAAGTAGATAGGATTAGTAGTGTTTTCCTGGAATTGATTTCTTTGTAGAATAGGAATTCTGATTCAGTAGGTCTGAGGTGAGGTGGGTCATTCATTTGTATGCCTCAATAGCTCATAATTAATGCAGGCATGAGTTGCTGGATCTGGTGGCTCAGGATCATAGTTGTGGGGTACCTCAAGGTCAGTGGGTATAAAATAATGCACAAAGACATTGTTCTACATCCTACTTTGGTGAGTAATGATCGGGGTCCTAAAAGCTTGCAAGCACCATCTAAGGTGCAGCTATTGGTCTCTTCTCGTCCAGAGCAAAGAAGAGTGAAGAAAATCAAAGACACATGGAAAAATTAGTCCAAGGGACTAGTGGACCCGTGAACCTCAGCCTCCACAAACCTGGTACCAGAAGAATTAGATGGTGCCTGGCTACCACTGCCAACCACTCTGCAAGGGATCACATTAGGAGATTCTGGATAGAGTGGGAAAAAAATGTGGAACAAAACTCAAAATAATAACAAAGACCAGGCTTACTGGTCTGATGGAGACTGGTGGAATCCCTGAGACCATGGCCCTTAATCACCCTTGAAGCCTGGAAATGAACTTCCTACCATGGCTCCACCTTTGGCCAAATAATAGACCTGTGAAGTGAACAGTAACACAGGGAGGTACTCACTCCTTAGAGCAATCAGTCACAAGAGAGCAAACGGGTAGCATTTGTCCAGGAATAAAACTCAGAAGGCAGAAATGGATGGGATAGGAGGACAAAAGGAAATGGTAACCACAGGGAGGCGGTGGGAAGACAGCTGTTACATTGTGGAGACTGCAATCAGTGTCATGCAACAAGATGTGTATGAATTGTTGAATGGAAAACGAATACGCTCTGTAAACTTCCACCCAATCACTGTTTAAAAAAAAAACAACTCATACATCGGCATACAGAGTGGGTTTTCTAAGTACAGAATTCTTACATTGATCTCATTCCAGCCTTCACAAGTCAGAATAGGTGCTGGTAACCCCACTCTACAGATGAGGAAGCAAGCTGACGGGCCTAAAAGACTTACGTGTCTTCCATTAGGAGGGAGAAGAACCAGAACCTAGGCCTTCCGATGCTCAGTGCTATATCGCCACACCAGAGCATCTTGTGCTAGACTACAGGAAGCGAGGACATGCAGCAAGTCAAGTACAAATTCAAAATTTGGGCCAAAAGGACCTTAAGAGTCAAGTCCAAACCCATCATTTAATCTAGGAAAAAAGTTTCAGATTGTTAAAAAGTATGTGATGACTTTCCAAATAAGCCTGATAATAAAATGGTTAGCATGTTGATGACAGCAGGCAAGCCCCTTACAGCCATTACATCATTCAGTCCTCACAACCCTATGGAGTCTAAGTCTTTATTTTGTCTTTATTTCACAAACAAGGAGATGAATGCCCAGAAAGAGTCAAGAATCACACCCAGGTTTCTCCTGTGAGAGCCTGAGCCAGCAGCCACCATGCTCCACTGTCCTTGTCTGTGATTTCTGAGGAGGGCATATCCCTGGGCTAGATTGGTCTGTAAGTGTGTGAGAGACAGTAAAAGTGAACTTTTTTTCCCCCCAAGGCTGTGACCTTTCAGACACAGACTGCCAGGCCTTTGTTCCAGAGCCCCGCTGGTGGGTTCAAACCACCACCACCATTTCAGCTAGTAGTCAAGGACCACCAGAAAAGCTACCTCCTCCGGGAAACCTTCCATGCTTTTCCCAGGCATACAGGAGCTAAGCTCTCCCTCCTCCCCACCAACCAGGACTCCTCACCCCACTTCCTTTTGTCATTAAAATAATTTTCATTTATAAAACAAAAAAAAAAGTGTGTGAGAGAGAGACAGTGGGACATTTTTGGAAAGTTAGGCTCAGCTTTCACAATAGGGAAGATTGTAACCCGAACAAGCGGTGGGCTTCATGTCGTGGTGGGCACACAGGTGCATGATCTCTGCCTTCTAAAAGAGAATTTATGTGGCTTTTCCATGAAGCCCAGGAAGGGTAGTGAACTGACTGCAGAGGGTAAACTGGCTGGCTGGAGGATGTCCCCCAGAGAGGAATGCAGTTCACGTTTTATGGAAATACTCAGACTAGAAAAGAGATCTGGTGGAAAACATGTCTAACGTGGTAAGGGGTTACCCACCAACTGCCTCTCTGGTTTGGCCAAGACAATCTCCTAAACAGTCATTCTGGAGTCTTCCAAATGTGTTTGCATTTGTTGCAGGGATAGATTTACCCAGACAGGTGGGAGAGCCATGACTTAAGGGTTATAAACAGCTGCAGAGGCCAGAGCTGTCTTCTAGCAAGTGCCTCGCCGCCCGGCATTCATGAGCCTTAGGCCCCCAAATCGGAACGGATTGTAATTTTGGTCCAGTGCACGCACCACCCGTTGCAGCTAAATGGTAATGTGAACATGTAAAGAATTTCCAGTCGCTTTAAAAGGGATCAGGATCATCTTGGCGTGCTTTCTGTCGCTGACTCATAGCGCTGCTGCCTTGGGACTGTCAGGTTTCCAAATGGGACATACAGTAGTAGGTAGTCAAGAAATAAATGTCAACTTGTCGCAGTGATGCTCGTTATTCATCCCACTATGAGGAAGGCAAAGGAGGGAATGTAACAGCGACAAAACTGCCCTTCACTCGCCGGTTCCTCCGCCAGAGCGAGGTTTTGTCTCCATCAGGTAACTTTTTTAAGTGTTTGCGAGCACAGCTTGCACAGCGCGCGGGGCAGGTTCACCCTTGGTCCAATCATCACCGAGATTTGGAGGTGGGGGAAGGGGAGAACTTCCTCACACCTTCCCTGTCCAGGAAGGGGGCGGGTTTAGGCTGAGCAGTGGTCACCGGAGCCTCTCTTGACACTGCACCATGTTTGACGCTTCAGCGAGCCAATAGGAACCAAGAGAGCTATTTGAATCGGCCAATGCTGGAGGGACGGAGGCGGGGGCCTAAAGGCCCTATAAAAGCGGTGTCCGGGAGGCTGGCCGTGGCGGAGGCTCCTGCAGCGGTCGCCGGCTGTGGGCTCTGGAGCTACTCTGCGCCCCTCGGCTCCGACCCTCTCAGCGTTCTCTGACGCCAGTTCACCTCGCTCCTCGGCATCATGACCACCACCACCACCTTCAAGGGCGTCGACCCTAACAGCAGGAACAGCTCCCGGTGAGGCGACAGGGCCACGCCCGAGCCGCGCCGGGCTTGGGGCCTGGAGGGCCGGTAGGCTCGCTGCCCGGCGAGACCGCGCGGGGTCGGGCGACCGGTCGTTGGCAGTAACGTGCCCGGCGCGCTGCGCACCCGCCTGGTGGGCGGCAGGGACTGGGCTGCCAGCGCCGCCTTTGTGTCGCCTGAGAGCCGGGCGCGCCGGCCCCGCCCCGGCCCCCGCTCCTCTTCCATTCATTCCTGCCGGGGAGTGAGGGCTCGGCGCGGCCCCCGGCTGCAGGGTGGGTGTTGTTGGTTCATCGGAGCGAGCGGAGCGGTTCGCTTTCTCCGCTCTGCAGAGCATGGCCCAGCCCCGGGGCGGTGGTCGGCTCCCCCCACTTCCCCCCGGTGTCCGGGAGCCTCCAGAGCGCCATGGCCAGACCCCATTGTCCCACCCCCGGACCACGCGCTCCTACCTCTGGCCCGGGCAAGTGGCTGACAGCGCGCTCGGGCGCGGCGATCGGATCCTGACCGGATCGATAGGGAACGGCGGGCTCCTACCCACGCCTTCCCCCTCCCGGTTCAGGCCTGCCCGGCAGGTGGCATGTGGGATCGGGCGGGGCTGGTCCCCGTGACTCCCGCCCGTTCTGGACCCAACCGTCCGGCCCTCTTCCGAGTGCCACCCCTCTCCTAACAAAGGAAAGACTCACGCGCCCACCTCGGGACAGGAGGGGGAGCGAACGAGGTCGAGGGGGGTTTTCTGCGCTGGAACCTTCGGACCTCGGGCTGTGCATCCCACCTTTTTCGCTTCCCCGGTTGACGTTTGTAATGAGTTCAGCCCTGGCCCCGGTTCCTTTGCAGGAGGAGGTTTCCTGTTCTTGGGCGGGGCCGGAGACATCCATTGTCTGTTCCGTAGCTTCTGCACCTGGGAAGCAGGGTTCCTTCCTGCCACTCATCTCACTGAGTTCTGGGGAAGGGTCACTGACACGGTGTTTGGACTGGGACCGTTACCCGAGCCCTTGCCTATGTTGCAGGGAGGTTCTGGATGCTGTAGAAGGTGGCCACAGAATCTCTGCTTATTGCATACTGTTCTTTAAAGTGGGCTACAGGCATCTCTGGGATGCTGCTCAAGCTTCAGGAAAGCTTAGATCCCACTTCTTCTGGACCACCTATTGGCCACTGATCCCGACCTGCAGGCTTGTGTGGGCAGCCTTGGGGTCCTGGGCAAGTGGCACAAAGGGAGCCATTTTGTGGGGCTAAGAAAGACAGACTGAAAAGCAGTGTCTCATAGGGGTTAGAGAACTTGGGAACAAAAAGCACCCTCAAGCCACGAACCTTCAGGGAAAAACATTGGACATGACATTCCTCTTTGACTCGTTTCGTTTGATTTTACAGAATAGAAGTGGATGGATAAGATTTCTTTACAAAACCCAAATTAGTGGTTCCTGGGAGGATGGGGCACTTGAAAAGGTGCCTTTTCTGTTGTCTGCCTTCCTTCCAGTGAGAGGGTTTTCTGCAGAGACACTGGGAGGAATTGAGCCTGGGTTTTTCACTTTGTGCGCTGGGGTCAACTTTCTGCGGGTCAGACTCCAGTTGTCGGATGATGACATGTAATCTGGGATTTCAGCCTTTGAGGTTGAGTTGGGTTTAGCGCTTCATCAGGAATTTCCATAACCAGCTCAGATGAGCCCTCCTGCTTGCTTTCTTGCTCTGGACAGTGGAGATGGGAGACAAATGATTTCAGGTTTTGTAAAATGAATGCTGTCATCTACCTTTTGTCATCAGTTTGCCTGCAGTAGTGTGATCTCGGGACCGGAGCATTGTCCTTTGAGTCACTTCCCACCTTTTCTTCCGTAATCTCACCAGATTCTCCTAAACATCTTTTCTCCAGTAACATTCTCCTGGTTCCATAAGCACGTTGTATATTGGCTGGGGGGAGTGAGCTGCAAAAATCATACGGGAACTCTGGGATTTAAACAGAGAAGGGAAATTGAGAAATTTTTTTAAAAATTGCTATCCATAGTACAGGAATACATTTTTGTTGAGCTTTAACTATGTCATTTTGATTTCGTTATTGTGCATGTAGTTCAGAAAGAATAATAGGATCTTAAGAAATAAGATTGAAATCATTTCTGTCTTATGCTCCAAATCCTTTGTTTGGGGATGTCTCGCTATTACAAATGGTCTCTACAACACTGACGTCATTGTATAAGTATTACCTGCTGTTGCAAGACTGACGGGGACCTTTCAAAAGTTGCCCTGATCAGACCTTTGCCTTTCTTTTAAGCTGATATTTGGGTGCTAGTGTTGTGTTTTTTTTTTTTTTTTTT